ATTTTTTTCTCTTTCAAAAAAACTTGCTTTTACATACAAAATTCCGCATTCGCAAGATCTAGAAACACCTAGCCATATTCGAGATTGTCTTCGCCCTAGACGTGAAAGGTTTAATTTCTGAGGGTTTGGTCCCAAATCTCTCTTTCAATTATTTAATTTAATTGTTTAATTATTATTTTCCTTGAAGTTACTAACGTGTGTATTTTGTTATTAGAAAGAAGTACGAGGCATCAAAGTAAATGCTTTAATTGATTTTTATTGATGTTATGTTGTAGAAATCATGTTAATATTATTATTATGATATTCCTAGTATCATGTCTAGGGTAGATTTAATATTAAATATGATTGTTACAATGCATCCTATTTTCTTCCTAATATTTATGATTGTTAGTATCATGTTAGAGTTAAAGCTTTGATTTTTATTGCTTAGTGACATGCTAGGGTTTGTTATTAATCTTGTTAGTATCATGCCTAGAATCTTGCTATTATTATGCTTTAGTATTAACATGAACATGACTATGATTATAATTGTTATAATTTATGATGATTATGAGTATTATTATTATTATTTTGATGATTATAATTTTATTTTCATGATTGCTATGTTGCTTGATATTTATTATTTATTGCTTGATCACGCCTTTATTGCATGTTTTAAAGGGAATTGGTACTTGTAATCACGCTTAATAAGATATTAATAATCTTGTTAGGGTTAATTTGATTATAATTCAAGTGATCGCCAATAATAGTTTTATTTGTGCATTAATATTCAACCAACATAGATAAACAGGTTCAGGGTAATCGTATTGATTGCATGTTAATTAGAAAGCGCACATGAATACGATCTGAACAAAGTAGAGGCTTATTATTAGGGCAGGTTCAATCTCTTTTAGGTTGGATTTGTACCTTCATACCCGAAACCTTATTTGGTTCTAGACCTTATGGAGTTGACGATCTCTTGGATCGTTAAGGGGTGTAACCTTCACCCTGTGAACGGTTTACAAGTTCCTAAAAAAACATGTTGGCGACTCTTTAACTCTATCTTCTTCCCTTTTGGACGCCACCGTACTTTATTGTATGATCACAATGGGGTTCAAGCTAGGGGTTAATGCTTGAAATTTATTCCCTACAGTTGGTCACGCTCTTTTTCATATAAAGTGACTCCAACTTCCACTACTAGAAATAAGCAAAATAATGACAGATCTCTTCCGACGGACGGAAAATTCCATCGTAATTTGCAAAATTTCCAACGAAATTTATTTTGTCGCAATATTTCGACGGAATTTAAGTGTTACAACGTCGGAAAATATTTTTTCCGACGGATTAATTTTCCGTTGGAAAATTAATCATTTGAAAAATAAGGGGATGGAAGCATTTGAAACCGTTTGACCTACTTCGAAATAGTGCAACCCGAAGCCGACAGTAAGAGAGAGAAAGAGAAGGATAGAGAAAGAGAAAGAGCGTTGCCGGTGCCGGCGTTCCTCAACGTTGCCGGAGTAGGCGGCTTTCCCCAAGGGCGACGGATTTTTTTCGGGTTGAAACCGAAAGAGAGAGAAGAGAAGGAGAGAGAGATATAGAGAAGGAGAGAGAGAGGAGAAGGCCGGACGCGTGCACGTCGGTGGTTCCACGGAGCCGGAATCGCCGGCGATTCCCTAGGGCGACAGAAAGAAAGAGGCTGAAGGAGAAAGAGAAAATCTCGCCCTCCAGCCTTCCCTGTCGAGCCTGCACGCGCCGTCCAGCCTCCACGCCGCGGTGGTAGTTGTCGGCGACGCCCCTCACAAAAGGTCAGTGTTTGTTTTTTTTTTTAATTTTAAACTAAAATCTTACCGGCTCCTCCTAACCACAGCAAGCAGCCTCCACCGGCTGAAGCACCGCCGTCGGCTGAAACAACCACCACAAGCACCCTCCGGCCTCCTCCCTTCCCTCCGTGACTGAATCTCCTTCGCCGGTAAGCTTCCTACTTCCCCCCTTTTTTCTAATTTTAAATTTTTCAATTTAATTATGTTAAAAAATTAAATAAACCATTATTTATTTTATTTTCTTTAAATTTTTTGTAGGATTTGTACAATTTAGTTGATTAATTGTCAAAAACAAGTGCACATCAAGGTTAGTCACATTACTAAACTTAATATATAATGTATGAATGTTACTTTGATTTGGTTATGTTTAATATATTGTAGTTTAGTTTAGTTTATTATAATAAAATGTGGTTTAGTTTAATGTATTTCAATATAATGTACTTGAAATTAGTTTATTTATTTATTTTTATATATGTTAGTTTAGTTTAATATAATGAAATGTTAGTTTGGTTTGTTTTAGTTTAGTGTAATATGACGTATGTTAGATAACTTTATTTAATATAATATGATGTATGTTAGATTACTTTAGTTCATTATAATCCAAATTAGTTTTGTTTAGTTTAATATAATGTTTCTTACTTAAGTTTAATTTTATATAATGCATGTTACTAGATTTAATATATGTTAGTTTAGTTTGGTTTTGTTTGGTTAGATTTGTTTATATTAATGTTATGGTTTTATGATATGTTTGTTTATGTTAAGTTTAATTATGATATATTTGTATAATATTTTGTATGTTAATTTAGTTTTAATATTTTTAAATAAATCATTTGCATAATCATATGCCTAGATACCTGTTCAAGGCATACACATTAGGAGTATGTCTTGAATAGTCCCTGGCTGGGACTGTCCTTGTACGTTTATTCTCACTTAGGTGGTGAATGTATTTGTAGACACCCATTTGTGTCTCCCCAAAACCAAACCCGGTGATGAGTATCTTTCGCGTCGAATCATAATCGAATGAAGTGAAAGTGTGGAAAGTTTAGTGTTGTGGATAGTTTTAATTTTTTTTCTCTTCTCTCTGTTTTAAAAACTTATTTTAAGAAAACAGTCAATCCAGTTTGGTTGGACCATGATATGGGTCCAATAGTAGTGTAGTTGGATGGGGCTTGACAAGAGCTTTTAAACGATATATTATAAGCCCAATTCCGATGAATATTGAGGAAGTTATGGCCAATTTACTAAACTGGGCCCGGTTTGAGTTTTATATGCGGCCCAATGATCTAGAGGAGGGCCTAATATGGATTTATCATTCTTAATGCAATTAGGAATGGTTTTAGTCTTCTAAATTCTTCTAGAAGGTTCTTTTCATTCCTAATTCAATTAGCATTGGTAAATTGACTTTTGTTGACTTTTCAGAGTTTTAATTAAAATCAAAGAGCATTTTTGAGGAAAAATACGATTTTATCCTCCTGTACGGCAATTTTTTTCTGATTTTAAGAAAACGCGTGAATTTCAGAATCAGCGCCAAACGCCAGCTGTAGCGCCTGGAGCTAATGTTGGCGTCTGGCGCCAATAGCCAGCGTTGGCGCTAATTCAATTTTATGAGCGCCAGAACTCTTTTTTGATATTTTATCTTTTTGGCTAATTTTCTCTATAAATAACGTCGTAAAAACTCCGTTTTCATTCACCAATTACAACCAATTTTCATTCATCTACAATCTACCAACTCTCGTCAAGATTCTCTTGATTACTCTCTCTCTCTTTTCTAAACTAGCTTTCTCTCAAATATAAAAATTCCACATTCATTTGATCTAGAAACACCTAGCCATATTCGAAGTTGCCTTCGCCCTAGACGTGAAAGGTTTAATTTTTGAGGATTTGGTCCCAAATCTCTCTTTCAATTATTTAATTTAATTTTTTTGTTTATTATTTTCCTTAAAGTTACTAACGTGTGTATTTTGTTGTTAGAAAGAGGTACGAGGCATCAAAGTAAGTATTTTAATGATTTTTATTGATATTATAATGTAGAAATCATGTTTAGGTTGTTATTATGATTCCTAGTATCATGTCTAGGGTAACTTTAATATCAGGTATGATTAAAAGTATGATGCATTCTATTTTCTTTCCTGATATTCATGTTAGTATCATGTTAGGGTTAAGTATATGATTTTTATTGTTTAGTGACATGCTAGGGTTTGTTATTAATCTTGTTAGTATCATGCCTAGGATCTTGCTATTTTTATTATGCTTTAACATAATTCATGATTATTTTTATAATTGTTTTGATTATGATTATTTTTATGATTATTACGATTATTATGATGATTATTTTTTATGTTGCTTGATATTTATTGTTATTGCTTGATCACGCCTTTTATGCATGTTTAAAAGGATTTTTGTACTTGTAATCACGCTTAATAAGATAATTAATAATTTTGTTCAGGGTTAATTTGATTATAATTCAAGTGATCGCCAATAGTAGTTTTATTTGTGCATTAATATTCAACTAACATAGATAAACAGGTTTAGGGTTAACCTAATGATCGTATGTTTAGTCAGAAAGCGCACATGAATACGATCTGAATAAAGTAGAGGCCTATTATTAGGGTAGGTTCAATCTCTTTAAGGTTGGATTTGTACCTTCATCCCCAAACCCTATTTGGTTCAAGACCTTATGTAGTTGACGATCTCTTGGATCGTTAAGGGGTGTAACCTTCACCCTGTGAATGGTTTTTAAGTTCCTAAAACTTGTTGGCGACTCTTTTGCTCTATCTTCTTTCCCTTTGGATGCCACCGTACTTTAGTGTATGATCACAGTAGGGTTCAAGCTAGGGGATTAACGCTTGAAATATTCCCTACAATATTCCTTTTTTTTAATTCTAAGGAAGATCCTTGCTTGTCATTTCTCTACAATGTTCTCTAGGTACATATATAGGTGTTTCTAATCGCCTATATCGTGTACTTGGAGAACTCTAGGGAAATGCTGCCGGATTTTCCATAGAATTGAAATCCTGGCATACATTCACTAGTGAGATTAAACGTCCAAGGATGGGTTAGGTTGGAGTGATAAGGACCCTTGGAAATCATTTATCTTCTCATTTGCATTTCCATAACACTTTGATCTATAATGAATATATATTGTGCTTTGTGACTAATGTGATTAATGGCATATGTGTTAGTTGTGTAGAACTTGTAATCATGAAACGAAAAGAACGTAGCTGGATGTACGAAAGGAAGGTTGGGAATTCTATTAATCCTGAGTTCTTGAAGGGGGTAGGTGAATTCCTTAAATATGTGGAAGATCATCTCGAGAGTAGCAACTCGAATGAAGTTAGGTGTCCATGTTTTAAATGCAAAAACAAACGTCTTTGGGATGCGGATACGGTTAAACTTCATTTGTATCGCAGTGGTTTTTTACCTAATTACTATGAGTGGATGTGTCATGGGAAAAGGTTTCCAGGAACTCGTGGAAGGAAGTCAAATGAATATCGTGAAATGGTTTTGGATGCATTTGGTCAGTCTCAAGATCAAGGGCATTCCGAAGAGGCGGTTGTTTCATTAGAGGAGGAGCCTAATGCACAAGCTAAGCCATTTTTTGATTTGTTTAGGTCTTCTGAACAACCGTTATACGAAGGGAGTTCATTGTCTATGTTAGAGATGGCTTCTAGAATCACTAGCCTAAAGTGCGAGTATAATTTGTCGCACAAATGTGTTGATGGATTTGCTTCTTTGGTTAATGAAGCGATTCCTAACAGCAACCACATGGCCGAGACATTCTATGAGGTCAAGAAAATTGTTAAGGGGTTAGAGCTTCCCCATAAAAAGATTCATGCATGCCCGAAAGGATGTATGTTGTTTTGAAAAGATGATGCTGAATTATCTACATGTAGGGTGTGTGGCAGCGACCGATACAAGAAGACTTCTAAAGGTAGCTTAGTGCCTCTGAATGTTCTATTTTATTTCCCTATCACACCTAGGTTGCAAAGGCTTTTTGCAACTAAAAACATTTTCGAGGAAATGACATGGCATGCTAAAAATCCTCGAGTTCAAGGCACAATGGCACACCCTAGCGACAGTGAAGCGTGGAAACACCTTGATAGTTGCTTTCTTGAGTTTTCCTCTGAACCTCGCAATGTTCGACTTGGCCTATGTACTGATGGATTTGCTCCACATGGTCAATTTGGGGGATAATATTCTTGTTGGCCTGTTATTTTGACCCCTTATAACTTGCCTCCGTCAATGTGTATGAAAAGACAGTTCATGTTTCTTTCGATACTTGTTCCTGATCCTAAAAACCCTAAGGGAAACATGGATGTTTACATGCAGCCTCTCATACACGAATTGAACCATTTGTGGGAAGTTGGGGCAAATACTTACAACATTTCAAGAAAACAGAATTTCAATCTTCGAGCAGCCATCCTATGGACCGTTAGTGACTTCCTGGCTTATTGTATGTTATCTGGTTAGAACACAGCCGGTAAGAAGGCTTGTCCATATTGCATGGAGAAAAGTAAAGCATTTTGGCTCGAACATGGTGGTAAGGTTTCTTGGTTTGATTGCCATTGTCAATTCCTTTCGACAAATCATCCTTTTCGATATAGTAAAACTGCATTTTGTAAAAACAAAGTTGAAAAAGGTTCACCACCTCACATCATGTCAGGAGAGGAACTCTGGGAATGTGTGAAAAACCTCCCGAAGGCAACAGATGGCCCAGAGGCACTGAAACGTCTCAAGAATGCAAAAAAAGGGTTGTTCAAGCAAAGCACTGTGTGGGACCTTCCATATTGGAAACATCTGCTTGTTCGTCACAACTTAGATGTCATGCACGCTGAAAAGAACTTTTTTTATCAGTTGATTCACATTATAATGGACGTGAAAAAGCTATCTTGTGACACGCCATCAGCTCGGAATGACATTGCCAAATACTGTAAACGACCCCAGCTACATCTTCAAGAGGATGATAGAGGAAAAGAATTCATGCCAAAGGCTCCATTTGCTCTTGACAAGGCTCAGAGAAAGGTTTTGTGTGAGTGGGTCAAACAGCTGCGGTTTCCTGATGGTTACACTTCCAATTTGAGCAGATGCGTTGATTTACAAGCAGGTAAGTTATATGGAATGAAAAGCCATGATTGTCACGTGTTCATGGAGAGGTTGTTGCCCACTGCTTTGAGAGAATTGCTCCCTAGCCATATATGGAATGCAATTACAGAGATAAGCCAATTCTTTCGCGATTTATGTTGTTACACAATAACAGTTAGCGACATGGAGCGATTGGAAAAAAAATATAGCTGAGATCCTATGCAAGCTTGAGAAGGTTTTCCCTCCATCTTTCTTCAACTCCGGGAGCATTTACCGATTCATTTTCCATATGAGGGCAAGTTATGTGGACCTGTTCAATATCGGTGGATGTATCTTTACGAAAGGTAAATCAAAGGCCCTTTCTCAACTATTACTTACATCTCTTTTATTGCTTAGGGTTACTTATACTTCTAAGGCTATATAAAAATAATTACAGGTTCCTCAATCACCTGAAACGAAAAATTGGTAATAAGGCTCGTGTTGAAGGTTCCATATGTAACGCTTATATCACTGAAGAGATATCAAACTTCTGCTCCAATTATCAACCCTCAGTTGACACAAAAACACGAGATCTAGGTCAAAAAGTGAATGCTGATGTGGAATTTACGAATAACAACGATGAAATCCTAGAGCTGTTCACGGTGGATAAGGGACGTGTGTCAAATGCGGGTAAAACTCGGTATTTAGATGACAAGGAACTCGAATGTGCTCATTTGTTCGTTTTAAGAAATACTGGCATTCTTGGTGAATACGAAAGGTATATATGTTTAGGATAAACTTTTGAAAAACCCTTAAATTTAATATAATTGCTGCAATGATTAACCATGTGTCATTAATCTATTAGGCAGTTTGAGGACTACATTCTTAGTATTCGAACTTATTTGCGTCGAGAAGATGTCATGGAGAAATGCGAAAGTGAATTCCCTGATTGGTTTCATCACAAGGTGATAATACTTTTCGAACATTGCATATCGAATAACTTGTGATAATACAATATATTTCATTTCAATTAGTGTGACATTTGTATTCGTAACGGTTATAGGTGAGGGAACAGAAACCAAGTTCCGATGTGGTGCGAGCATTGTCTATGAGCCTTTCAAGTGTGTTCGAACTTGGAACCAGATATTTGTCGGTGGCTTTAATTTCCACACACAGTCCTATGGCAAACACAAATCTACGATGAATTATGGGGTTTATGTCTCAAGTGAGGACAGTGCAGAGTACTTTGACATTTCAAACGACATAATTGAACTTGTCTACACCGGTCCCGAAAAAGAGTAAAAGACTATTTTGTTTAGTTGTAATTGGATGGATTGTGGTAAAATAATGAACATTCATGAACAATACAAGCTTATCGATGTAAATCATACTTGAACATTCATGAACAATACAAGCTTGTCGATGTAAATCATACTAAGAAATATCCCAAGTATGATCCATCTGTCTTATCTTACCAAGTGTCTCAAGTGTATTATGCATCTTACCCTAGCCTTAAACGTGATCGGGTTCAATGGTGGGCTGTATTTAGAACTCAAGCAAGTCCATGTATTAGTGTGTATATGTAAGGGTAAACAATGAATGTATCAACATATCATTGGTCAAAATAAGTTTTTTTTTCTTGCAAAATTTATAATTAATAATTAAAACTTTTTTTTTTGAAACAAATTAATAATTGACATTTAACTAACAATAAAGGCTCCTTCACCACAAGTACATGCAACGCTTTGTCCACCAACTGACATTCCAGACTATGAATGATAGTGATGATGATGATGACGATGGATTTGTTAACTCAAGCGATGATGAAGAAGAAGAAGATAGCATTGACTCTAGTGACAGTGACGAAGAAGAGGACATCGATGTATTTTTAGATGACACTAGTGATAGTAATAATGATAGTGATAATGATAGTGGTAGTAGTGATAAGAGTAATGAAGAGGAGAATATGTACTTACTCCTTTAACTATTGTCTTTGAATTTTTAATTTTTAATGACTACTCGGACTTGTAATATTGCATTACATATTTTTTCTCATTTTATTTTTTTATGTAATATGGATCTAAATTATGAAATTACAATGTGCGATCATGGTACTAACAATTTTTTCAAGTGGTCATCATGGGAGGAGGAAATAAAGGAGAATCGTCCAAGAGGAGAAAGACTAAGGGGAAATCTCAGGTTGTACGTGATGACGAGAAGGAGTCAATGGAGGAAGAGGAGGCACATGATTTGGGGGCCTCTCAAGAAATCATCAATCGGAGACAGATTCATAGGCATGTACAGGGGCAACAGGAGCTACAGGACCCACAACATAATGACTTGCTGGAGTTGGACCCTTCCACACTTTGGTGCGTATGTATTTGTAATGAAATATCCTTAAATTCGTAATTATTTTGAGAAATTGAATTTATATTACTTTTACCATGTTTTGTTCACTTTTTGTTGATTATCTACTTACATGAATGTCTATCCTATATTATAAGTTTGATGATAAGCCGGTGAAAAATGTGCTCTCCGACACGTTAACCGGCTACTATGTTGAGCCTTGGAAGAATTATGGAGAGGTTGATGAAGATTCGAGAGATCACTTTTGGAACTTTTTCAGCGTATGATAACTTTAACCTAACATAAAACATGTTTTATAAAGTATATTGATGGAGTTGAATTTCTAAAAAAGACATTTTCTTGATTTGCAGAAAAAATTCAAGTGGGCACCTGAGTTAAACGACCATGTGAAGCAAACTTTCGAATTCAAGTTTGCAAATCGCCTACGTGACACGTTCTACCACATCACTAAGAGGTTGAATGGTGTCAAACCAAAATGGCTTAATAAAGATGTCCACGAAGCCATGATGCGAATTGTTGCCACTGATCCAGAATATAAGAAGCGGTCGGAACAAAACAAGAAGAACAGAAGAGGCGGATCCATGGAAAATGTCGTTGAACTGACCCACTTTCAAGGTTCAATGTCAGCTGTACAGCATACTAAAAGGATGGTAAGGTTCCTAAAATATGTCTAGTAACAATTAAGTCATTTGTGTATTAATGAACTTTTGTGGGCTAACATGTTATCATTAATTTTCTGCATGTATATTTAAAGGCAGCACAAAACCAAGGCCAATTACCAAATTCCCATGATCTTTTCTTGAAGACACACTTCAAGGAAGTGCCTGGAAAAGGCCAAGTGGATGCCAACACCAAAGCTAAAAGGATTGCAGTAAAAACTTATTATATGACTTGATATATGGCAAATTAACAAAGTAGAACTCATTATATGCTTATTTGAATGAATTTGGATGAATGAGGGTCGTAAAGTGACTTATGTATTTAATTTTCTTAATTTCTATCCATAGGAACCTAAAAGTAATTGAATTTGGAATGTTAGAAGAAAGAACGAGTTCATTTGATTGAAAACATAGAAAATAGGCATGGTTTAAGCCATATAGGCTAAATTTGCTTAAATTTGGATGAATAAGGGTCGTAAAGTGACTTATGTGCTCATTTCTCTTCATTACTATCCATAGGCACCTAAACGTAATTGATATTGAAATGCTAGAAGAAAGAATGAGTTCATTTGACTGAAAACATAGAAAATAGGCATGGTTTAAGCCATATAGGCCAAATTTGCTTGAATTTGGATGAATAAGGGTCGTAAAGTGACTTATGTGTTTATTTTTCTTGATTTCTATGCATAGGCTCCTGAAAGTAATTGAATTTGGAATGTTAGAAGAAAGAACGAGTTCATTTGACTGAAAACATAGAAAATAGGCATGGTTTAAGCCATATAGGCTAAATTTGCTTGAATTTGGATGAATAAGGGTCGTAAAGTGACTTATGTGCTCATTTTTCTTAATTTCTATCCATAGGCACCTAAAAGTAATTGATATTGGAATGGTAGAAGAAAGAACGAGTTCATTTGATTGAAAACATAGAAAATAGGCATGGTTTAAGCCATATAGGCCAAATTTACTTGAATTTGGATGAATAAGGGTCGTAAATTGACATATGTGATTATTTTTCTGAATTTCTATCCATAGCCACCAAATAGTATTTGATATTGGAATGCTAGAAGAAAGAACGGTTCGTTTGATTGAAAACATAGAAAGTAGGCA